TACAATTGCATGTAAAAGCAGCAATTGTGGGCAAGAGTAAAATGCTCTGGGCTTTAGTGTATACATTTTGCCATGTGGTTTTAGCTGCTCAAAGACCTTTGTGGCCTTAGCCTATTTGGCTCAGTGGATAGAGCGTCCACCTGCGGACTGAAGGGTCCTGGGTTCAATTTCGGTCAAGAGCACGTACCTTGGTTGCAGGCACGATCCCCTGCTCTGGTCAGGGTATGCAGAAGGCAACCAGTTGATATGTCTCTCTCACATCAATCTCTCTCTCTCTCTCTCTCTCTCTCTCTCCCTCTCTCCCACCCCCTCCCATTCTCTCTAAAAATCAATGGAAAAATAACATCCAATAAGGATTAATAACAAAGACCTTTGTTATTTTGTTTTAGTTTTAACTTCTGGGATAGTAGCAGTGCTTTAGTTGTTTGAAGTTATTAGCTAATGAACCGTTGTACAAGTTTTCTGTCCACAAATTTATATTAGTTCTATAAAAATGTATTGTGGTACTATCTTTAATAGCACTATTCAGGATATACATGTTACTAGTGCAGATCATTGGATAAAAGTTCAGTTAATTTGGCATTATAATAGTTTCTATAAAAATGCTTTTCTTTCATTTTAATTATTTTAATTCTTAATTGATATTTTGTAGCCCTATGTTTATAAAACTAGAATTCATGTGGCTGACTATTAAATAACATTTAAAATAACCAATGATCAAGAGAAAAATCTGCCCTGGAATTTGATTTTCTACCACTTCCGGGGTGTTGTCTGAATTTTATATTTTATGTTGCCAAAGAGCGGAAGTGAAGTGATATGCAGAGTGAGAGCAAATAAGAATAAGAAATTAAAATTTAATATATAATTGAATAAATAGCTTTTAATATTAATTTCCTTTGTGATATATTTCAAAATTGTATGACTCCTAGGTGGAACTCTAATATTTGATGAAGCTGACATTGAACTCCAGGCAGAAAATATTCTAATTACAGATGGAGGCATCCTTCAGGTATACGAGAAAACCTGAGATCTGTTCATTGGTAACCTCTCTCCCTTTTTTTAAAAAAACATGGTGTGTAAAATAGACAGTTACACCAAACTCTCACAAGTTTATCTTTGTATAGGTCTCTGTTATTCACATAAAATACTTTTTCTGGGAGAAAAGTTTCCATGAGTGTTCTTGTGCCTTTAATGAGAAGATAATAGCATCTTACAATAGAGCAGAATTTAAAATAGAGCCGATAAAACAGTTAGCTCTGAGATATGACTAAAGTCAGTCAGCAAACTTTCCAAAGGTCTGGCATCGTGCATTTGGCCAACTAGAAAATTTAAAGTTTGTCTTTTGAAAGAAAGATACTGACAACAGAATAATCAATTCTTGGAAGAAAAGGGAGAAAAGGAAGACATTGCTTTTGACTGGTTTGAATTGTGGGTATGATGCTTGTGAAATCCCTTGCAGATTGGGACGGAAGCATCCCCCTTTCAACACAAGGCGGTCATCACCTTGCACGGGCACCTGCGGTCTCCTGAGCTCCCCGTGTATGGGGCCAAGACGCTGGCGGTGCGCGAGGGAGTCCTGGATCTGCATGGTAAGGGCCTGAAGGGCTCACGGAATTGGTTGAGGAGACTCGCTAGGAACCCAAGATAATGGTCCTGATAACTTCCTCTCAGTGAAAACTTGCCAAGCTTCTCCTGTCTTTACACATTCCCTTTTTGCTTCCTTTTATCTTTTCCTTTGCTTATCCAGGGCCAGGCCAGCCCTGCATAGGATCAAGACTGACAACCAAGGCCACCCTTGGGGAGCCCTTTCGGGCCTTTTCTGCATCCTTTCCACGTGCTCCCTTAACACATTTTGCCTAATTTAGCACACACCCCAGTTCATTCTGATTGTTTATGGCTTCTTCTTGAAATATAACTATACATTTAAAATTGTACTTTTGCATAACTGTATTCTGGAAAATTATGAACAAATAACAATGATTGTGATCATGTTTGAGGTATTAGGTTAACCTATTTGAAGGAAGCATGGTGCGTTCTTTCAGTATTGAAGTATTTTATATTGCAACTGGAGGCCCGGTGCACGAATTCATGCACCAGTGGTGTCCCTTGCCCTGGCCTGCGGGATTGGGCTGAAACCGGCTCTCCAACATCCCCTGATGGGTCCAGGATTGTGAGAGGGTGAAGGCCAGGCCGAGGGACCCCCCTGGTTCACGATCAGGTCTGAGGAGGGACACGGGAAGTTGGCCAACCAAGGAGGGACTGCAGGAGGGCTCCAGGGTGTGTCCAGCCCATCTCTCTGAGTCCTGATTGACTGGCCCCCAGCAGCAAGCTAACCTG